CCCACCAGTGTTACCAATGTTCAGTGTCCCCCACGTGGTCACTGCCCACCAGTGTTACTAATGTTCAGTGTCCCCCACGTGGTCACTGCCCACCAGTGTTACAATGTTCAGTGTCCCCCACGTGGTCACTGCCCACCAGTGTTACCAATGTTCAGTGTCCCCCACTTGGTCACTGCCCACCAGTATTACCAATGTTCAGTGTCCCCCAGTGGTCACTGCCCACCAGTGTTACCAATGTTCAGTGTCCCCCACGTGATCACTGCCCACCAGTGTTACCAATGTTCAGTGTCCCCCACGTGGTCACTGCCCACCAGTGTTACTAATGTTCAGTGTCCCCCACGTGGTCACTGCCCACCAGTGTTACCAATGTTCAGTGTCCCCCACGTGGTCACTGCCCACCAGTGTTACCAATGTTCAGTGTCCCCCACTTGGTCACTGCCCACCAGTATTACCAATGTTCAGTGTCCCCCAGTGGTCACTGCCCACCAGTGTTACCAATGTTCAGTGTCCCCCACGTGATCACTGCCCACCAGTGTTACCAATGTTCAGTGTCCCCCACGTGGTCACTGCCCACCGGTGTTACCAGTGTTCAGTGTCCCCCACGTGGTCACTGCCCACCAGTGTTACCAATGTTCAGTGTCCCCCACGTGGTCACTGCCCACCAGTGTTACCAATATTCAGTGTCCCCCACGTGGTCACTGCCCACCAGTGTTACCAGTGTTCAGTGTCCCCCACGTGGTCACTGCCCACCAGTGTTACCAATGTTCAGTGTCCCCCACGTGCTCACTACCCACCAGTGTTACCAATTTTCAGTGTCCCCCACGTGGTCACTGCCCACCAGTGTTACCAATGTTCAGTGTCCCCCACGTGGTCACTGCCCACCAGTGTTACCAGTGTTCAGTGTCCCCCACGTGGTCACTGCCCACCAGTGTTACCAATGTTCAGTGTCCCCCACGTGGTCACTGCCCACCAGTGTTACCAGTGTTCAGTGTCCCCCACGTGGTCACTGCCAAACCAGTGTTACCAATGTTCAGTGTCCCCCACGTGGTCATTGCCCACCAGTGTTACCAATGTTCAGTGTCCCCCACGTGGTCACTGCCCTCCAGTGTTACCAATGTTCAGTGTCCCCCACGTGGTCACCGCCCACCATCGTTACCAATGTTCAGTGTCCCCCACGTGGTCACTGCCCACCAGTGTTATCAGTGTTCAGTGTCCCCCACGTGGTCACTGCCCACCAGTGTTACCAATGTTCAGTGTCCCCCACGTGGTCACTGCCCAGCAGTGTTACCAGTGTTCATTGTCCCCCACGTGGTCACTGCCCACCAGTGTTACCAATGTTCAATGTCCCCCACGTGGTCACTGCCCACCAGTGTTCAGTGTCCCCCACGTGGTCACTGCCCACCAGTGTTACCAATGTTCAGTGTCCCCCACGTGGCCACTGCCCACCAGTGTTATCAATGTTCAGTGTCCCCCACGTGGTCACTGCCCACCAGTGTTACCAATGTTCAGTGTCCCCCACGTGGTCACTGCCCACCAGTGTTACCAATGTTCAGTGTCCCCCACGTGGTCACTGCCCACCAGTGTTACCAATGTTCAGTGTCCCCCACGTGGCCACTGCCCACCAGTGTTACCAATGTTCAGTGTCCCCCACGTGGTCACTGCCCACCAGTGTTACCAATGTTCAGTGTCCCCCACGTGGTCACTGCCCACCAGTGTTACCAGTGCTCAGTGTCCCCCACGTGGCCACTGCCCACCAGTGTTACCAATGTTTAGTGTCCCCACGTGGTCACTGCCCACCAGTGTTACCAATGTTCAGTGTCCCCCACGTGGTCACTGCCCACCAGTGTTACCAGTGCTCAGTGTCCCCCACGTGGCCACTGCCCACCAGTGTTACCAATGTTCAGTGTCCCCCACGTGGTCACTGCCCACCAGTGTTACCAATGTTCAGTGTCCCCCACGTGGTCACTGCCCACCAGTGTTACCAATGTTCAGTGCCCCCACGTGGTCACTGCCCACCAGTGTTACCAATGTTCAGTGTCCCCCACGTGGTCACTGCCCACCAGTGTTACCAATGTTCAGTGCCCCCACGTGGTCACTGCCCACCAGTGTTACCAATGTTCAGTGTCCCCCACGTGGTCACTGCCCACCAGTGTTACCAATGTTCAGTGCCCCCACGTGGTCACTGCCCACCAGTGTTACCAATGTTCAGTGTCCCCCACGTGGTCACTGCCCACTAATTTTAGCGACTTTATCCTTGATACCAAGATAATTGTTAATTTACTCTACTAGGAGTATACTAAATATATACTATACTATGAGTATACTAAGATACTACTAAGAGTATACTAAAATGCACACTTCTAGAAGTTGTTAATATACACACTACTAGGACTAGGCTAATATACACACTACTAGAAGTATAATAATATACACACTACTAGGACTAGGCTAATATACACACTACTAGAAGTATAATAATATACACACTACTAGGACTAGGCTAATATACACACTACTAGAAGTCAAAAGCGTTTGACAGATGCGATCATGGCGTATTAGCGCACAAAATACGTGCTAAAGGAATAACTGGGAAAGTGGGGAGATGGATCTTCAACTTCCTAACAAATCGAACACAAAGAGTAGTGGTCAACAGAGTTAAATCTGAGGCTGCCATAGTGAAGAGCTCTGTTCCACAAGGCACAGTACTCGCCCCCATCTTATTCCTTATCCTCATATCAGACATAAGCAGAGATATACACCACAGCACCGTATCATCCTTTGCGGATGATACTAGGATCTGCATGAGGCTGTCATCTGCTGAGGACGCGGTTAACCTCCAAGAAGATATAAACAAAGTTTTCCAGTGGGCAACGGTAAACAATATGATGTTCAATGAGGACAAATTCCAACTACTCCGTTATGGAAAACTGGAGGAGATAATAACTAGAACAGAGTATACTACTGACTCCGGCCATACAATAGAGCGGAAAAATAATGTAAGGGACCTTTGAGTAGTAATGTCTGAGGATCTCACTTTCAAGGATCACAACAGTGCCACGATCGCACGTGCAAAGAAAATGATAGGATGGATAATGAGAACTTTCAAAACGAGAGATACAAAGCCAATGATGATCCTTTTCAAATCACTTGTTCTCTCTAGGCTGGAATACTGCTGTACATTAACATCTCCATTCAAAGCAGGTGAAATTGCAGATCTAGAGAGTGTACAGAGATCCTTTACTGCACGTATAAGTTCTGTCAAGCTCCTTAACTACTGGGAACGCTTGGAAGCACTTGACTTGTACTCGTTGGAACGCAGGAGGGAGAGATATATCATAATCTACACTTGGAAAATCTTGGAAGGAATGGTCCCAAATCTGCACACAGAAATCACTCCCTACGAAAGTAAAAGACTGGGCAGGCGATGCAAAATGCCCCCAATAAAAAGAAGGGGCGCTATTGGTACACTAAGAGAAAACACCATAAGTGTCTGGGGCCCAAGACTGTTCAACAGCCTCCCATCAAGCATTAGGGGAATTGTCAATAAACCCCTGGCTGCCTTCAAGAGAGAGCTGGACAGATACCTAAAGTCAGTGCCGGATCAGCCGGGCTGTGGCTCGTACGTTGGACTGCGTGCTGCCAGCAGTAACAGCCTAGTTGATCAGGCCCTGATCCATCGGGAGGCCTGGTCATGGACCGGGCCGCGGGGGCGTTGATCCCCGGAATAACCTCCAGGTAACCTCCAGATATACACACTACTAGGACTAGGCTAATATACACATTACTAGAAGTAGATTAATATACACATTACTAGGAGTATACTAATATACACACTACTAGGAGTAGACTAATATACACTCTACTAGGAGAAGACTAATATACACACTACTAGTATACTAATATACACACTACTAGTATACTAATATACACACTACTAGTAGACTAATATACACACTTCTAGGAGTAGACTAATATACACACTACTAGTAGACTAATATACACACTACTAGTAGATTAATATACACACTACTAGTAGACTAATATACACTCTACTAGTAGATTAATATACACACTACTAGTAGATTAATATACACACTACTAGTAGATTAATATACACACTACTAGTAGATTAATATACACACTACTAGTAGATTAATATACACACTACTAGTAGATTAATATACACACTACTAGTAGACTAATATACACACTACTAGTAGATTAATATACACACTACTAGTAGACTAATATACACACTACTAGTAGATTAATATACACACTACTAGGAGTATACTAATATACACACTACTAGTAGACTAATATACACACTACTAGTAGACTAACATACACACTACTAGTAGACTAACATACACACTACTAGTAGACTAACATACACACTACTAGTAGACTAATATACAGACTACTAGTAGACTAACATACACACTACTAGTAGACTAATATACAGACTACTAGTAGACTAACATACACACTACTAGTAGACTAACATACACACTACTAGTAGACTAACATACACACTACTAGTAGACTAACATACACACTACTAGTAGACTAACATACACACTACTAGTAGACTAACATACACACTACTAGTAGACTAACATACACACTACTAGTAGACTAACATACACACTACTAGTAGACTAACATACACACTACTAGTAGACTAACATACACACTACTAGTAGACTAACATACACACTACTAGTAGACTAACATACACACTACTAGTAGACTAATATACAGACTACTAGTAGACTAACATACACACTACTAGTAGACTAACATACACACTACTAGGAGCATACTAATATACAGACTACTAGGAAAATATTAAATATATTTTTCAAAGTTTTTCATACCAAAGTTAATTTGAGGCCAAGTGACATATACCCGGCTGAATGTGACTATAAGTTACTTGTTTCTTAATGACCCCTACTGTTCCAGACCCCTACTGTTCCAGACCCCTACTGTTCCAGACTATGTCGCTCTCCCCAATATTCTGTGCTCCTGTGTACGTGATCTCCCATACTTCCCCTTGTCTGTGGCGGTCATTGTACCTTAGAACTCTCTCAACAGTGGTGCCGTGTGTGAGCAAGGTGCTGGGGCGAGACAGAGTGAGAGAGATGGTACTGGCTCGACAGGATCCACTCCTCTCCCAAAATTCCAAAGACCGTCTCCTCACCACCATTGATGGTTCCCTGGAGTTCGCCAACGCTAGAGAGAAGAGCAAGGCCATCTGGGAAGGGTGAGTCCACCATACACTTTATATTACTTCATATTTACTTATGAGTTCAATCAGTTTCAGTCAGGCTACGTGGATTTTTATTTGATTTTGACGCCGAAGCGGCTAGTTTATTGTGCACCCGATATCTATCCTGTGGAAAATTGCATTTATCTGAATGTAACTAATTATGTACATAACAGTAAATGATAACAAAGATAATTATTATTTATCAATGTTACATAGACAAGTAGGAATTTGGGACACCTAGGTCGCAAAAAATGTCCCCCTTCGATACCTATCACTGTCATAACCACAAGTTCTCTGGACCTATTAATTAAATGAAATATATACATACACCAGGAATGCTGGTAAATATATAAATTTCTGGACTGTATATTATAAATAATAAATGGTTTTATATATACACAATTACATAACAGAAGGAAAATATATCTTAATATCACTCACCAATTTGACTGGAGATTAATGTGTATCATACTCAGAAAACCTCACTCTAACTAAATCTATGAAAATAATGCTGGCCAGAATTACACACAAATCTAGAGAGCTTATCTGAGGTTCCTGGAGCTGTCTTGTCCAGTCGTCTGATATCTCAAGTTATGCAGGAATGCACATCCACCAATTTCGCCTCCTATTTGAGAGACGTCAACACAATTTTAACCTCTAGAGCACGAAAAATTCTTCCCATTATACCAACGTTTGTACAAAATTCAAAACCAAGATGGCGAGTCTCGTCTGCGCGGACGCAGGCTTCCGTTTTCTATGACAAATATTATTAAATACAGTATAGGCCATCTATTTACCTATAAATTGCCGTATTTCCGGAAAATACACATATCCTGTGGAAAAATAATATGGATATGAAAAAGTTCTAGGTACTAGACCTTAGAAGGGCAAACAAGAGCACATCTAGATTTATATTTACAGTTGACTTATCTCTTACAAGCAGGGAGCGATTTTGACATATTGAGATTATACAGTACGACGTTCTTAGGTATTCTCTCAATACACAAAGTTATGTCAAACTTAAAGTGCGTCTTGTAGCACCAAGTTATGTTAAGCTGAAAGAGCGTCTTGTAGCACCAAGCTATGTTAAGCTGAAAGAGCGTCTTGTGGCACCAAGCTATGTTAAGCTGAAAGAGCGTCTTGTAGCACCAAGCTATGTTAAGCTGAAAGAGTGTCTTGTGGCACCAAGCTATGTTAAGCTGAAAGAGCGTCTTGTGGCACCAAGCTATGTTAAGCTTAAAGAGTGTCTTGTGGCACCAAGCTATGTTAAGCTGAAAGAGTGTCTTGTGGCACCAAGCTATGTTAAGCTGAAAGAGCGTCTTGTGGCACCAAGCTATGTTAAGCTTAAAGAGTGTCTTGTGGCACCAAGCTATGTTAAGCTTAAAGAGTGTCTTGTGGCACCAAGCTATGTTAAGCTTAAAGAGTGTCTTGTGGCACCAAGCTATGTTAAGCTTAAAGAGTGTCTTGTGGCACCAAGCTATGTTAAGCAGGGAGTTTTGAAGCACCAAGCTATGTTAAGCTTAAAAAAGTCTTGTGGCACCAAGCTATGTTAAGCTTAAAGGGCGTCTTGTAGCACCACTCGGTTTTTGTGCGAATGTTTAAAAATAAGTGTTTTCAGTAATCATAGTAGTTTTGAGATGCATGATTTTAGATTTTTGGTGATCTTGGTGATGAGTGTTGATAGATGATGGTAAACATGATATGGAATTGGTGATCGTGATTTTTGTGTAAATAATTATAAAAATGAGTGTTTTCTGTGATATTAGTGGTGGGGTCAAAAAATCTGGTAATCGTCTTGGATATAGTGTTCTTAGATAATGTAGGGTACAACAGGTTGAAACAAGGTGGGTTGGGTGTGATGTTACTAACCACCAAGTAAACACAATGGGAGTGTGACGTCACTGGAGGTGACCTCGCCGGTCCTGTGAGGTGTGACATCGTGTGTTGGTGGTAGTGAGGTGAGTGCGCTTATTGTCAAATATGATTTTTTGTGTGAATGTTTATAAAAAATGAGTGTTTTCTGTGATATTCGTAATTTTTGAGGTAAGTGAACATGGGTGATTGTTGTTGGTGGTTGTCTTAGATTTATGTGTGTACAAGATATGTTTTCAGTTGATGGTGATCATGTACTAAGTGTTTGCGTATTAGGTTTGTGTTCATGCTTTTTTTTTTTTTTTTTTTTTGCGCCCATGGGGAGGGAGTTCTTGGTTATAGTGATTTGAGGGAATTTCTATAAAATGGATGTTAGCTGGTGATGCTAAACTTAGATTCTGGTGATTTTGACGGTGTTTTGGTAGTATTCAGTGGTGATTTGGTAGTAATCAGTAGTGTTTTGGGAGTATTCGGAGGTGTTTGATGGTGTTTTTTGAAGGTGTTCAAATTATATGCAGAGTATTTTTTGAAGATGATCAGTGGTGTTTTGGTGATGTTTCGAGTTGGTTCAAAGTTAGTCAGTGTGTTAGTTGTGGTAATGTCTCATGTCATAAGTGTATGAGTTAGTTTTTTTTTGTGCTAATGTTGTAAAGTCTGGAGAATGAGGGAGGAGTTTGGTGGATGAGATGTAATTTCGGCTAATGAAATGTGTAAGTGTGAATGAGAATGTAAATTGGTGGGTGAGTTAGAGAAGATAAAATGTTATGTGATCTTAGTAAAAGTATAGATAGTTTTAGTGATCTTCGTTATGATGATGTTTTAAGAGAAATGTGTACAAAAATGTGTGATCTTAGTGGAGGGGTTATAGAATTTGGTAAACGTCTTGATTGTGGTGATCTTAGATATTGAAGATATAACAGGTTGAAACAAGTAACTTCCTCTCGTTAAGTTAAATGAAGTAAAAGTGGGGTGTGACGTCGCTGATCGCCAAGTAAACGCAGGATGGAGTGTGATGTCACGGGAGGTATCCCTATCTGTGCTGGTATGTGTTGGTGGTAGTGAGAGGAGTGTATTAGATATTGTATGGAGTTGGTGATTGTGATTTTTTGTGTGAATGTTTATAAAAATGAGTGTTTTCTGCGATCTTAGTGGTTTTGAGGTGAGTGGGATCGTCTTGGTTATAGTGATTTGAGGGGATTTCTATAAAATGGGTGTTAGTTGGTGGTGTTGATCTTAGTTTCTGGTGATTTTTAGTGTTGTTTGGGCAGTTTTCGGTGCTGTTTTGGTAGTATTCAGTGGTGTTTTGGGAGTATTCAAAGGAGTTTGATGATGTTTTTGAATGTGTTCAAATGATGATTTTGGAGTAATCAAAGGTAATTGATGTTGTTTTTGGTGTTGTACAAAGTAAAGTGTGGTGTGTGTGGGTGTGTTTGTGTTAGTTTTGGTAAAATGTCTCATGTCATAAGTGTATGAGTTAGTTTTTGTACTAATGTTGTAAAGTCTGGAGAATGTGGGAGGAGTATGGTGGATGAGTTGTAATTTAATGAAATATGTAAGTGTAGATAAATTAGAGATGATAAATCTTATTTGGGAGTATTCAAAATGATATTTTGGAAGTGCTTCAGTGTTGTTTGGAAATGTTCAAAGGTGTTTATGTGAGTAATCAAATGATTTATGAGAGTGTTCGAAGTAATCTTGGGGTTGTTCTGTAGTGAGATGATAAAGGTTGTGGATGAGAGAATATTTCTTAAGAGATATTGAGAAAAGGTGATCTCAAATGATGTATGAGAGTGTTTTGAAGGTGTTCAAAGTAAAGTGAGGTGTGTGTGTGTGTGTGTGTGTGTGTGTGTGTGGTGTGTGTGTGTGTTGTGTGTGTGTGTGTTAGGTGGTCATAGAGTTTTGTGAATATCTTGGATACAGTGATTTTAGTGGATTTGAGATGGGTGATGAGATGCATTTGTGGATGTGAAATGTGATTTTTGTGTGTGTTCAGAAGAGGTGTGTTGGGAGATGGGTGAGTGGATGTGAAGAAATGTGGGTGAGATGGAGAGGGGTATGGGGAGGGTTGTATTAAAAATTTAATGAAGTATGGGGGGATTTTACTGAAAATAAAGGTAATGTGTGAATATTTTAAAAAGAAATTATAGAATTGAAAAGTTATGATATATTGGAAAAGATTGGAGGGTGTTGAAACATGTCGCAATAGTTGGGTAGTGAGATGATTAGTTGTTGTGAGTATAATATTAATTTATGTGGATACAAGGAGATGGGTATGGAGAGGACTTTATTAGAATTTTAGTAATGTAGGGAGGAATGTGCATTACATTTTAAGATTCAATAAAAAGAAGGGGAAAAATTTGTATCGAATAAATTGTGAATAAATTGATAAGTGATGAGGGTTGTGGGTGTTGTTGTCGAACTAGAGATACCGAAAAGATGCTATAAGTGGGCTGTTGTTGTGGGTTGTTGTGACTTTTCTGATTAAATTAGTTAAAACGAGAAAAAATTGTGGGTGTTGTGGGATGTGGGTGTTGTGGGTTGTGGGTGTTGTTGTCGAACTAGAGATACCGAAAGATGCTATAAGTGGGCTGTTGTTGTGGGTTGTTGTGACTTTTCTGATTAAATTAGTTAAAACGAGAAAAAATTGTGGGTGTTGTGGGATGTGGGTGTTGTGGGTTGTGGGTGTTGTTGTCGAACTAGAGATACCGAAAAGATGTTATAAGTGGGCTGTTGTTGTGGGTGATGTGGGTTGTGGGCGTTGTGGGTTGTGGGCGTTGTGGGTTGTGGGTGTTGTTGACAAATTAGAGTTGCTGAAAAGTGATTATAAGTTGTGGGTTGTTGTTGTGACTTTTTCTGTTGAAATTAGTTAAAACGAGAAAAAAGTGTTTTAGTAGTATTCAGTGGTGTATTTGGGAGTACTCAAAATGATATTTTGGAAGTGTTTCAGTGTTGTTTGGAAATGTTCAAAGGTATTTTTGTGAGTATTCAAATGATTTATGAGTGTTTTGAAGGTGTTCAAAGTAAAGTGAGGTGTGTGTGCGTATTAACTTCGTAATATGTAAAATTGTGACTAGTGAATTTATCGAAAAGTGGTTATAAGTTGTAAGTGTTGTGGTGACTTT